TTCGAAGCCAGGTAAATAGATAGAATAAAAATGAACAACAAAGTGAACGAATTGTACCGCAAATGTAATGTTTATTAATGATTATGACAATTAAAAAAAGTGTTGCCATTAACAGATGTTAAATTGTTTTCAATCGATTAATATCGATTGTTAATAAATAATAAATTATATGTTATAGTATGATTATTATATCTTTACTAATTATAGTTATGTAAAATAATAAGGAAAAATATTTTTGTGCAGTAGCAAAGAGAAAAATATTATAACATGGCGTATTTATTGTACTTTTGTTCACTTTCACAACTATTGATTAATTCATAACAATTATCGATTTTCGACAGATTAGTCATTTTAACTTTTTACTGGCAATTTTTTTGTAAATGGCGTACTTTTCACGTAATAGTCGTTGATTAACTTTACAAAAATTACTCGAAACGGTGTGCTGTTTTTAAATCTATTAATAGTTGATAATTTAAAGTATTATAAAATATAAATTGCAATGATAATGAATTGCTTGTCGGCGACAAGCCGTATTTTGGCATTCTCCTTTGGACTGGCCAAAAAGATCGTGCGACTGTTCCGACTTTTTAAATAAATATGTATGCAAACACGTTTTGAGTCTAGCAATTCGGCCGAAAATAATAACACCACCACTGGAAGTAAAATATATTCCCATTGGAAAAAAAAGAAAACGAGGCTGACCTGCTAAGTCCAAGCCAGCACTTATTTACCAGTGACGATGAGTACGAGAGTAGGGCTCCTCGTAGGTATTTATCAATGTTTGTTACAATAAATGTGAAGATTACTTTAAGTTAGTTGACTGAAGCGTCTTTTTGTTTTGTTAATTTGATTTAAGCACCTTAATGCATATTAATTTATTTTTCAGAATACATTGTTTCATTTAATTTGCCTATCCTTAAATTTTAATAATTTTCTTGGCTATATAATTGTGTTTCTTATTTTTTTTTAATATGAGCACATAATACTATGTTCATTGTAGTATTTTTCAAAATGGTTTTTGTATTTGAAACATTCTGTATAAGATAAAATGCGGCGCAGTATAAAAAAAAACATTTGCCAAATATTGATAACAATGCAGGACGTAACGTTGGCGCTCAAACAAATATTAGGTCGTTCAAATATTAAGAAGCATCTCATTGTGTATTTTAAGTAACTCAAATTAATGTTTGTAAGTTGCTGTTCTGTTGATTTCTCATCTTCCGCAGTCAGTCGCTCACTTAGTAATACTATGACGTAAATTAATTATATTTGACACTTAAAACTTTAATTTACAGTCACTCGTTTTAATACTACCCTTTCTTATTCTGCAGCGTGCCTAAGTAATATCTCGGTATACGTATTTGACTTACCGTTTGTAGCATGTTAATCCACTTGCGTCATTTCTCATTTATATCATCGGGAATGGTGTCGTCCCATCCGATGTTATGCCGCCAAGTATCTTGTAGCATTATTTTTCCTTGTATAGTAAACGGTGACAGGAAACCTATAATATCAAATACGGACATGATAATTTTTAACATTAATCGTTTAGTCGGCCTTTGTTGACCTTGAATTATATAACTAGGAATGCGTTTAAATGAAACGTCAAACCCTAACATGTCATCCTTCGGATACGAAATGAGACCTAGCGTTCGTTAACCTTCCAAATGCTGATCGATTTTGAATTTTTTCGTATCATCGCTTACAGTTTCATTTGTAATGCTGTCCATTACCACCTCGCTGTTAGACGTCCAGTTACGCATATGAAACCCGCCGGATTAATGTATATGTCTTATGTTTTTTATCATTTCTATAGCGGATTGGTAGGCTGTCTATATAATCATCCATATAGTGTGAATGACGTACAGCATGTACTGCGGCTGGTAATGACGATTCAAAACGCTCCACGTTTTTATTTTTAATAAATTGTGCAATAAAAGGCAAGCAATTCGCACCGAATATTAAAGACGTCATGACATATTACCTTTACCGATTCGGTGTCGTAATCTCTCCACAAAAATCGAAAGGCTTGTTGATCATCTGGGTGAATTTTTATCCTTAAAAACTCGATTCCACGCGTAGTTCATTGTGTAACCAGGCGCCGCACACGCGCATTGGCTCGCGGCGGCCACGCAGCCCTGCGCGCTCGGCCAGTGACTCGCTCATTAGCGAGACGGTCGATCCGTCGTCGAGTAATGCACTAGAATTAATGATAACACCGTTCGCACCGTGAATGCGTATAGGCACGACTTTTAATAACACTGATCGCTTATCGTTCACTTTTAAGTTATTCACTGACTCAGTGGTGATATTCTCGGGCGTCGTCGCTTGTAATATTGCGTTTTCTCGGTTCTGTACAGGATAGTGCAATTACTTGTGATGAGATCGCCCGCAACTGTCCGTGTCGCAGACTGGCGCACTACATGTTTCTCTGTTGTGACGCGAACATAAACACTTGTAGCATATACCATGACGTTTTACGTGCTCCCATCTTACTTTTCTTAACGCCTTTCTAAACATTTTACATTCCGGTAAATCATGTTTCGATTTATGACAGAAATAACAATTAATGTTTTTATCTCGCTCAGATTGCACTAACACTGTATGAAAACGGCCAGTTGTGTGTTCATTCTGTCTATGCTTATTATTTTGTTCGGATCGTTGTGTTAATAAATGCACGTTAGATGTGGTAGCCGTTTTTCTTGCTTCGTCCTGTAGAAAGTCTGATAATATAAGCAAACGAGATTTTTTTCCTTCGGTAATCAGTGAATAACTGTAATCTGACCACTTTGATAACAAAAGCGCGGGCAGCTTCGCTAATACGATTGAGACTATATTCATACCTTGTAGGTATTCCTCGCGCTTTAGAGCCCTTATAGCTTCAATTAGATTTTGAACTTTCACTGAAAATTTTATTATTTCCCTTTGGTAATCATTAGGTAACGGAAGAAGTTTTTGACATCTTGCATGATCTTGAAAATAATAACGTCCGGGTTTCCAAATCGCAGTTCCAAAATGGATATAATTTTATCAGGTGATGTCGCGCTGATTAACAACGCAGAAACTGCCTCTTTGGCGGCGCCCTTTAAGCACTCCCTGAGTCTCCATAGGTTTTCCTTAGGGCTAAATTTACATACATCTGTTAACTCATCATATGCTTCCTTAAATTGTAACCATTCCATCGGTTCGCCGGAGAAGTCCGGTAGGTCTCTCGGCGTACATATACGACTCAATAGGTTTCCAGTGGGTTCTTTGACGACTGAAGCAGCAGCCATGTCCTTTAATGCTGTGGCCAGTAAGTGCATGGTTTCGCCAAAGTCCGTTCCCTTCTGAGTGGGTTGTGACATTTGTCCTTGAAGTGGCGCTGTAGCATGCAGCTCATCCGGTTGGGTTTCCTGTTGGTGGATAAGCTTTTCTGATAGTATACAGCTTTTCTCTAGCCATTGCTCAACGTCGCGCTCGCGTGTGATTAGCTCATCATTATGCGGACTGTATAATTCATCGTCGAGTTCTGCTATATCCGCTTCCAGTTGTCTATCTATAAGTTCCATTTGAATTTTCGCCTTCTGTTTCGCTGCTTCTAACTGTAATTTCTTTTTCCTTGCCAGTACTGATGATGTTGAAGACATTTTCGAAATACTTATCTGCATAACGTGCCTGGTTGGCGGTTGTAACGGATTTTCTCGTTTTACACTTGTACCCGCCAATGAAGATGTTATTCCAGTGCACTCGATATCTTCACTTTTCATGTCGATTTCGTTTTTTCTCATGATGGATTGAGTATTGTCTTCACTTATCTGAGTGTTTTGAGGTATTTCTTTGTTTTCTAGGTCCAGTTGTTCGCGATCACGACGTATGGTACTGCGGGTATTTACCATTCTGGGTGGTGTAAAAAACATTAAATATCCGCTCGAAGACCAACTTGTCACTTGCAGGCCCGCAGTACGGAGTGATACGAAGAAATATACTTAAAAATTGTTTATTACACTTTACAGCGGTTATTACAGTATGAGCGAAATGTGAGACTTGTTGCTAGCGCGGATGGGTGCAGAACACTGACCCGCGAAAGGAATTGTTATACATCTTTGCGATTTATTATTTCACTACCCACTAACATTTATAACATTAACAAGGTGAAACAAAATATATTAATGAGCGCGTCGCTTACAGGGGGGAATAGGAAATATATGTAATACAGATATATGTAATATACGAGTTAAATGTTCAGTTTCTTCATTTTCATTTAAACAGGGTAGAGCATTTCTACTAAGTTCGTCAACATGTTTCATAGGTTGACCCGGCCTATACTCTATAGAACAATCATATTCCTGTAGTGCTATCCACTATCGTGCCACGCGAGGTGTTATATCTCTTTTTACAAACGTGGACCTTAAAGCACTACAATCAGTTATTATTTTAAAATCTTTTCCCAATAGGTATACCCTAAATCTATGCAGAGAGGCGATAACAGCAAGTGTTTCAAGTTTATATGCGTGCATTTTTTCTTCGTCTGGTGTAGTTTTACGGCTAAAATATGCTACCGGTATTAAACAAGTACTTGAAGGATCCTTTTGAAAAAGGATTCCCCCTAGACCTACCTTAGAGGCATCGCAGTGTAGTTCCGTCTCAGATTCTGGATTATATAATGCTAGTATTGTTCGCTGTGTTAATTTTTCCTTTAGATTTGTAAAAGACTCTTGCTGTTCTGGTCTCCGTGAACATGGTACACTTTGTCTAGTGAGATCTGTTAACGGTCTAGCTAGTAGAGCGAATTCCTTAATAAATTTGCGAAAATAGCTCGCCAGCCCTATAAATTGGCGGATTTCGTGAATAGTATTTGGCTCCGGAAAGGATTTAAGAGCCTCGATCTTAGCTTTACCAGGTCTGACACCATCAGCAGAGATTTTTTAATATTTAATTCAAGTCCTGCCTTATTTCACTCGTGTAACGTTCACCTTAGTAAAAGTAATAAATTTACCCCCGAACGATAAGAAAAAAAAATGGTTATTAAAAAATGTGTAAGATGCAACAGTAATATTACCAAGAAAGCCACTGGGCTGGAAAGCAGGAGATGCGAAAAGGTAGTACACGCAACAATTGACTGTGCTAAATTATCAACTGAGCAACTAGCCGCCCTTCGAGCTTCGGATGGCCTAGAATGGAGTTGCGAAGACTGCCTCAATAACGCGAGCAGACGTTCATCATTCTTTATTCCTGAAGATACAGATGAAACCATATCCAAGGTGCCATTTGACATGCAAAAATTTATGAGGAACATTACATCTGAAAATAAGAAGACTATCAAAGCAGAACTCGAGAGCTTCCAAGCGTCTATCGAGTTTATAGGTGATCAAGTTGCAAACATTGAGGAAGTTCTTAGGAATCAGAATAGCAAAATAAAATAACTTGAAAACAAGGACACCGAACTTGTGAATGCCAGAAAAAAAATGGAGCTTCGTCTCACTGTGATGGAGCAGCGTTTGGAAGAAGCTGAGCAAAAAAGTCTATGCACTTTTATTGAGATAGCTGGATTACTGAATTCTCCAAATATAGATGTTAACGCCGTGACTAAATCAATAGCTGCTAAACTAAATATTGAGGGTAATGCCAAAGAAAACATGCGACTGGTCACTTGACGGGCTGAGAGCCCTGGTTTCATACCTGTAAAACTTAACAGCAAATCTGTTCGTGACGAATGGCTCTCCGCTGCCAAATCAACAAAGATTACGGTGGGTGAAATCAAGCTTCCTTTTCCAATAGAAAATGAAACAAGCAGGATATACGTGAGGGAAGCATTGACTCGCCATACAAAAACACTGCTTTATCAAGCTAAGCAACGTTTGAAGACACCTACCGGCCCTTTCAAGTATGTATGGTGTAAGGAAGGTAAAATATTTGTTAAAAAGTCTGACAATTGTAAGAAATATTTGTTAAAAAATCTACCGAGTGTATTAATTTGTCATGCTTTCATATTAATATAAGATCGATGCTCAAAAACTTTGCAAAATTGGTTCAGATTATTAAAAACTCTCAAAAAACTATCGATTTAATTGTTTTAACGGAGGTAGGCATCTCAGATCGTGTCTCGAAATTATTTCAACTCCCTGGACTTAAAATGTACACACAGTTACGAACCCATACGTAGGGGAGGTAGGATAATAGTTTATGTAAAAAAATGTATTAAATTTACACCAAAGATTATTTATTATCACTCATACTTTTGAATACCTTGGTGGCTTATTGAAAACAGAATATGGCGACACGATATTTGTGTATGCAATTTATAGGCCACCGTCACATAACAAAACGGAATTTATAAGGGAGCTCGAAAGAACACTGAGAAATAACTTTAATGGAACTACAGCCTTTATGGGTGATATGAACATCGACCTTAAATCACAATCATTAGCCAAAAACATGTATTTGGACATGCTATCCGCTGTCGGATTAACGTGTGGAATAACAGACTACACACGAATCGAAACGCGAAATAATGATATTACTAAGTCTTGTGTCGACCACATTTTTATTCGATCACGCACGTTAATACCGTTCACAGCAGCACTTGACACTGTGTTAGCAGACCATCGCGCAACTATGTTTAGTTTAACCGATAGCTCGTCCGACCACCGCGTCATACGGGTGTATCACAAAACAAGTGCGTCTACGATAGAAATAGTATTTGAATGCTATTTATGAATATATAATACAATCTTTTGATAATGCATTAGAAAATTCGAAACGCTCTGTGCAAATCAATAAAAAAATAGAAAAAAGCTACCTTGGATGAGTAACCATATTATTGAGTTAGGAGTGACGTCACGGACGTCTGTCAGGAGTGACGTCACGGACGTCTGTCAGATAGAATCAGCTGTTTCTTATTTCCCAGTTTTAAAATTGTTATTATTAATCTACATTCGTACTTACGGTTTCCTTTAGTATTATACATAACTTGCATCCCAAGTGAACGTTTGCAGTGCTGTGTTTTCCATTATATTGACGTATCTGGTGTTTTAAATCAGCATCACGGAATCTAAATAACAGGGTATATCACTAATATCTATGTTCGCAATTAACTGACAGTTTGGTTGTTTTGAAATACCCTACGGCTTGCTGCTATCATTGGTGCGTTCGGAAACGGCATACGTGAACTTGGCTGTGGTTGAAACCTACTTTTAAGTTTGGTTGCGTTCCGAATCTACATACTAAAATCAGATAATCATGCAAAAGTGTGGGGGTTATGGTAAATTCATCTCTGCATCTGCGGCCGCTAAATGCAACTGCTGTCCGAATGTCTTCCACCGGGTTTGTGTAGCTATTCCGGACGTAGTTAAAATTAGTACCACGTGGGAATGTCCCGATTGTGTAGTCAAAAGGCCTAAGACTGATAATTCCGCCACGCTTAAGAGTGTCGAGGATAGCTCTGCCCTGCTAATTGCAATTGCAGTAATCGACACTTTAGGGATTTTCATTTTTTT